TTCGTGTCTTGCGCATGCGCCGTGGGAGTTTGTTTTGGTTCAGACGGTATGCACCAGTGCTGGGGTTCTCCGTCCATTTTTCTAGGGTGCTTTGCCTCTCGCTCGTTTCATTCTCCAGTCCGTGCCCAGTTGCTCCTGGGGGTGTTCTGGGGTGCCGCTTGGGGAGAACGCCGGGTTTTCCCTGCGTTTTAGGTAGGAGGCGCCTCCGTCGCCTCTCCCCTCTTCTTCTGCATGGGCAGCTCTGGCCTGCTTCCGCGGGTGGTGCTCCTGGTTCTCGGCTGCGGGTGCACGATACCCTGGCCGCCTCGGGCAGCACCGGCTTTGTAACATTGTTTTGACCCTTCCGTGCCACTGTTCTGCAGGTGAGTTTATGCGGTCTAGCGTCTCCTTCGTCCAGGCGCTGGTTTGTTTTTGGGGGTACGAATGGGAGTACATATGTACACGAGTACATGGGACATACTAATAGGGGTGCCTGCAGCAGGCCTATTGGCCCATATGTGGCAGCTCTTGTTCCTAACCTCCCGATTCGGACATCAGCCCCCAGGTGATTGCAGGAGGCCTCTCGCCCCATACGGGGCGGCTCCTGACTGTGCCCATCCAGTCCCTCTCCTATGCATGTCCACCCATGCGAGCTTGGGGAGTAGAAGAACTCCCAGAACCCCATCAAGCAGTTATCAAGCAGGTTTTGTGCTTGTGTTCGGGGCCCCACCTCCACCGTGTTTCTCGGTGCGTAAGTGGAGGTGCCTGTTGTGTGGTACATGTTCCTGTGTCAAGGGTGTTAATTGGTGACGTTTTGCTGCGGTTTTTGATACTGCAGTTGCGTGTTGGAGTGCGCTGGTGGCGTTTTGTTCGGCCCTTCTGTGTTTCTTCCTGGGGCCTTCCTTGTTTGGGTTATTTGTTCCTATGTTTTCTGGGTCACTCATTCCTTTCAGGTCTTGCTGTACCTGGCTTAGCTTTTCCATGTACATTCATATTGAAGTTCAGATGTTTATTCAGGTAATGTACATACTTACAAGGTGAGATACAAACATTGATGGAACGTTGGATTCTCTGTTTTCCCCTAGTTGTGCTTGTTGGGGTTGAGCTTTGGCTCTTGGTCCTGCCTCTCTGCTGTCAGTCGCTTAGTGCGCAGGTTCCTGGGCCTGCTGGGGTCTCTCGTATCTACATTTGACCCTGTCTGGAGTCAGACTCCGCCATTCTCTGCCTTTCCCGCAAGACGTTTCTTCTGGTTGTATGTTACATGTTGCATGTTGCTGGTGCGCGTGTGCATTGGTAATGTGTGCCACGGTGTGGTACTTGTTACTGTGTCGGGATGTTGTGGGGCGACATTTTGCTGTAGTTTTGTGCCTGGGGTTGTGCTTTGACTGCCTGTCTCTCCCCTGTTGCTTCCCTGACATCTCCTGGGCTCTGTCAGGTCTGCACTTGCAGCTGTGTGTGGGGTCCGCTTCCACCACCTCCCTTCCTCGTGCATCTCCTTCACGCTGTTGTGTGTTTTGTTTGTGCCTTTTGGCTTTCCTGTTGCCAGGTTTGGGTTCCTGTTTTCCTGACTTGCCCTGCCTGTGGGCTTTTTCAGTCTCGCGGTGTTCCTTCTTGAGGTCTCGCATCGGGCCCGTGGTTTCAGATCACCTGGTGAGCTCGCTCACGTTGGGGGGTTTTCTGTTCGACAGACGTTCCATCTCTGTCTTTGCCGGCTTGGGTTTCCGGCTGTGCCTCTTCGGTGGTCGCGCCCGAGATCTTCCCGCGGCTCCGTCTGTTCCTAGGCTTGGATGAACCTTGACGGGGCTGGTTGGGTTCTGACTCGAGTCTCTCACCTTTGGTAGGTGGTCGGGTGGCTTCGTTATTGGTGTCCCACCTGCGTGCTTTTCTTGGCAGCAGTATGGGGTATTTTAGCGGTCCTTCCTTTTCCTAATGTCCCTTCTTAAGAAGACAGCAATGATCACAATGGTAAAGATGTTTGGATTGGGTACATAAAGATTGGGAGATTGGGTAGCAATAGATACAGTGCAATTTTAAAGCAAAAGGTAAAAAACTATGAAGGTGAAATTAGGTACTTTTTAGTATTGTTTTTGAATGACGCAAAAGTGGGACAGCTTTTCAATTCAATAGGGAGTGAGTTCCATAGACTGGGTCCCTTTATTTGCATAGAGTGTTTACACAGATTAAGTGTGACTCTGGGGATATCAAAGAGATATTTATTTCTGGTTAGGTGGCTGTGTTTGTTGGCGTCGGCTTGGCTTTTCTTGTGGGGGTTGGGGGGCCGTTGACTTGCCGCATACTGTCGCCTCGTTTTGTACGGCGCTGGCTGAGCTGTTTTGGCTTGCTTTCGGTCTTGGTGTTCCATATGCGCCGTTCGTAGGCTGTCTCATGCATTTTTTCACCTCCGGCCTGTTCTTGCGCCACTTGGGCCGTTCTGGTCTCTGGACATTGGGCTCTTTCTTCTCCTCGGTTGGTGGTGGCCCCTTTAGTTTGGGTTTGTTTTGATGGCTCTTTTCTTGTTGCCGTTTGTTACTAGGGCCCGGTTCGCTGAGCTTCTTGCTCTTCTTCGGTCATGGTGTTTGGTTTGTTCGGTTGCAGCCGTCTCCCCCTTTTCTGGCACAGGGTGAGGCTGCTGCGTTCGGGGTGGGGGGGGGTTCCTTGGTTTGTTGGTGCTTGGTTGGTCGGGCTGGGGATGCGTCGTGTTTTGTGTTCAGTTGCGGCCCTCCACTGTTATTTGCGCGCCGCGGCTTCTGTGTCCTAAGCGCGCTTTAGGTCGGAGGCCTGGTCGACGACCGTGCCGCGGGGACGCTAAGCCCCGAAAGCACCTCAAGATAAGGTAAGGTAGGTTGATCCGGTTCTGTTCTTCCCTATTCGCGGGTGAAGGTGTCCCGGGTCATCCACCGTGTTATTGCGGCTAGCCAGCCTGTGTTCTTTGCTCGTGCCCGTGGCGTTCGTGGTTTCGCTGCTCTTGTTGCCTTCTTGGCGGCGTGTCCTTGCAGACTTCGGGCACGGGGCTTTTTAGCGGTTGTACAGGGGCCTGGCTGCTCATTGTCTCGTGTCGTTCCCGGGCCCATTCGGGCCTGTGTCGCCTTGGGTTAGCAGTTGCAGCCAGTTGCCTCGCTTTCCGTTGAGGGGTGCGTGGTGTTCGCCTCCCGAATCCGTCCTTTTGACCTTCGTCTGTGGGTAGTTAGCTCCGGGGAGCCAACGGGGCTCCCCCTAGAAAACCAGCATTGAATGTAATGAAATGCCATTTTCCGAGTGTGACCCGGAGGCTCCCCGGCAACCCTCCTTCCCTCCGGTCAGCGTTTTTTTGCGTGTTTTGACATCCAGCCTCAGAACTGATGGGTGGATAGCCGGCGTGAGAGGTCTGGGGCTCCCCCTTCCCCCTACCGGGGAGGGGGGAGCTGCGCAGACAGCGGCGCGGTGACATGTGACATCATACTTGTTTGCTTGTTTTCTGTTGGAGAGTTCTATCTACTAGTTTGGCTTTTGGTAGCAATTTTCACCAGAATAGGGGTTTGTTTTGGAATGCTTACCTTTCTGGATGTTTGACCCGGTCGATGGCAGACATAGAATGCTTCCAACCACACGGGGGTTTCTATAGGCCATTGCTCCCCTTGCCTCTCTGAGGGTTATCTTGAGGTTATCTTGAGTTGATTTCGGGGCTTTTTTAGTGTCCCCGCGGCCCGGTCCTTGACCAGGCCTCCACCCCCAGGAAGCAGCCCGTGACAGCTGACTAACTCCCAGGTACCTATTTACTGCTAGGTAACAGGGGCATAGGGTGAAAGAAACTCTGCCCATCGTTTCTCGCTGGCGCCCGGGATCGAACCCGGGACCACAGGATCACAAGTCCAGTGTGCTGTCCGCTCGGCCGACCAGCTCCCCTGGTCCCTCCCTGAGGGGGCCAGGTTCTGGCCGTGGTACCCGGTAGGCCCTAAGAACTCCATACACATGACTGATGCCAGAGTCTGACATTAGCATATCAGCCTGGTATAGCTCCGGGGAACCTCTAGGTCACACCCAGAAAACGGCGTTTCATTACATTCAATGCCGATTTTTTGGTTTCTGAACATAAAAGTTATTATACTGTATATCACACTGATTTCCAAAAAAGTCAGTGGTAAAGTTCAACCTAAGAAAATAGTTGTGAGGATGACGATACCGGATAAACAAGAGATCATTCGTAGTGAGACAATGTGTTGTCTCACTACAGACAAGTGTTAAAACGTAAAGTAAAACAAGTGTCTATGGACATATGTTTAGTAAGACAAACAAGCAGTGAGCCACAATCAGGTCATAGTGGTGCAAAGTGGTCCTAGCCTGCAAAACATAAAAGAGAGAGTATCCCAGAAATGTCATCACTGCTGTTATAATAGAATGGGACTCCCCTTCCAAACACTAACACCTTAGGGGGCCAGCCAGCCGAGCAGACAGCACTGGACATGTGATCCTGTGGTCCTGGGTTCGATCCTGGGCGCCGGAGAGAAACATTGGGCAGAGTTTCTTTCACCCTATGCCCCTGTTACCTAGCAGTAAATAGGTCCCTGGGAGTTAGTCAGCTGTCATGGGCTGCTTCCTGGGGAGGGGGGGGGGGGATATGTGTGTGTGTGTGATGTAAAAAAAAAAAAAAAATAGTAGTAGTAGTTAGAAACAGTTGATTGACAGTTGAGAGGCGGGCCAAAAGAGCAGAGCTCAACCCCCGCAAGCACAACTAGGTGAATACCTCTCCTCCTACCTCCTCTCCTCACCGTCTCCCATACTCCAACAAGAGTCCTCAATAATGGTAAGGTACCTATGAACATTATTCTGTTTAAAATGTATTTTTTTAGTTAATATTTTTTGGGGTTTGGAACGGATTAATTCAATTTACATTATTTCTTATGGAAAAATTTGTTTCGGTTTTCAGATCGTCTCTGTAAACCCATTAAATTAAAAAACTGAGGTACCACTGTATACTGAATAGGCCTGATGATAGAAGTTCAGTTATAAATATTATATATTTTAAAATATTTCTTTATTCTCAGATTATGCTGGTATCCTGACACTGGCAGAGGACATATTATCAAAGAATGTCGGTGTGGAAGATCCGCAAGATGTAGCTTTAACTAGAATAATTGACATGCCAGATTTTATAAATATAATTAAAAAGATAATTAGCAATTACAAAAGGCTATCTCTAAAGTATCTTCTAAATAACTTTTGTAAAAGCAACATCTTGAGCATCAGTGCAACTTCTCCAGAAAAGTGCTATATTACTGCCGATATTATTCCTACAGTGATGAGTTATGCTTATCCAGAATGTGAAGATGGTCAGACTCAAGAAATTCTTTTGCAGCAAGAGATGCAGGTATTTCTTTCAATTATTTGTTCCTTTGGTTTAACCCTTGTGTTGCTAAGGGCTATTTGCCCATTGTTACCCACTGGCGCATAACAAAAAAAAAATGTTTTTCTAAACCTATTAATTTGTGTTCTCTGATCATGGGAAAAATAATAAAAAAATCATAAGGGGCATATTTTGCCCGCTATAGGGCAGGGAAGTCTGGCAAAAAAAAACAGGCGCTGATTCGTGCGTCCCAGACGTTCTGCTCCGCCCCAGCTGTCAGGCAGGAGTGACCACAGAGAGATAATTACCTAATTATTTCAGTGTCTCTGACTGATTTTTCTACGTTTTTTTTTTTTTTTTGCTTTAATATTATTCAGTAATGTGTAGTGTGATATATTTATATAATGTGTGAATCATCGCTGTACTCAAAATTATGATGTGCATATTGTTGATTCAGTTATTATGTTCATCAAACAGTGAACAAATACTGTGTCGGTTCTTACACTATATACACAGGTTATATATAAGTATCTGCATGTTTTGTTCTCCATAATGAACCACTAAGTTGGTATTACAAGTCAAAAAGCAACGAGGAGTAACCGCAACACACCAGCCAGCCACTCGCTGCCTCTCATTCCTTCAACACCACACTCGCCCACATTCTCCTCCCACCATACTGTTTTTGCTTTTATTCACTATATACAGACGTTATATATAAGTATCTAGATGTTTTGTTCACCACAACTGTACAACTAAACTGATATAGTTAGTTCAGGCACTAAGAAATGTCGCTACACACAGTCAGCTGGCGGCTGCCTCCCTCACATATTCAAGGTCACACTAAAATTTCTTCCCCAACAATACTGTTTGTGGTGTTATTACCCTATATACACACATTATATATAAGTTTTTACATGTTTTTTTTCACCATAACTGTTCAACTAAGCCGGTATAGTGCCCAAAGAGCATAGTGGCCACCCCATCTGCATGATAAATCATGCAGATGTCGCCACCTCCCTTGCCAAAATGGCTTTTCCCCCACACTCCTTTTGCTGTTATTATACTATATATACATGTTATATATAAGTATCTACATTTGTGTTTACCATAACGAACCACTAAGTTCCCTCCCTCCCTCCCTGCCCCCATAACCTTCCCTCCCTCCCTCCCTCTCTGCCTGCCCCCATAACCTTCCCTCCCTCTCTGCCTGCCCCCATAACCTTCCCTCCCTCTCTGCCTGCCCCCATAACCTTCCCTCCCTCTCTGCCTGCCCCCATAACCTTCCCTCCCTCTCTGCCTGACCCCATAACCTTCCCTCCCTCTCTGCCTGACCCCATAACCTTCCCTCCCTCTCTGCCTGACCCCATAACCTTTCCTCCCTCCCTCTCTGCCCCCATAACCTTTCCTCCCTCTCTGCCTGCCCCCATAACCTTCCCTCCCTCTCTGCCTGCCCCCATAACCTTCCCTCCCTCCCTGCCCCCATAACCTTCCCTCCCTCTCTGCCTACCCCCAACATGAACATGAACGAGTAAAGCAACTTGGAGATACGTACAAACGAACCAAAGCACAAGGTGACTAGCATGCATTTCTAGTTGCAAATAGAGAGGTGAGAGACATGAGCAACGTCATACGTAATAAACATTGGGAAGAGTTCCTACAAAGTATAAATGAGCAAACAACACTTGTTGAAGTTTGGGAAAAGATACGAAAAATCTCTAGAAGCAGCCCAACCAAACCGCTGCACCACAGCCCACTAGAACAAGCAAACATCCTCCTTGATCAATGGGCACTAACATCGAGCTACGACTCACTCCCAATTAACATACAGCACAAACTTGATGTCACACGCCCCAACAGACAACGAACCATCAATCTTGCCTGTACAGCTATCGACGTGTCGGACCTTAATGATGTAACTGAATGGGAATTAAATCATGCACTAAAGATGGGAAAATCAACTGCTCCTGGAGAGGATGGTATTACTTACAGTCTACTGAGATTAGTCTCACACGTACCAGGTAATCCATTATTAGTGTTGTACAGAATGAGTTTACGTGAAGGAGTATTACCTGATGCTTGGACAAAGAGTGTCATTGTTCCCATCCCCAAACCACACTCAGATAATTATAGACCCATATCTCTAACATCGTGTGTTTGCAAAGTGCTTGAACGTATTGTTCTTAACCGGCTCATGTATCGTGTACAGGGGCACCTGTCACCCCAACTGTTTGGATTTATGCCTGGGCTCAGTACACAACACTGTTTTGCTGAGTACTTCGCACATATTGAAGCTTCCCCTCAAACAGTCTTCATCGACCTAGCAGCAGCTTTTGATACAGCAAACAGAGAAATCATACTGGAACAGCTTGCCGAGCTGGGAATACAAGGAAAATTACTGAAATGGATAAAGGGCTATTTGTCTAATCGAACAGCATATGTTTCGTTTAATGGTGTTAAAAGCACAGAGAGCAAACACTTTGAACTGGGAACTCCACAAGGAGGGGTCCTCAGCCCCTTGTTGTTCAACGTTCTGATGCATAAACTTATTAAAGATCTTCCAACTAATAATGAAGACACTGTCATTTGTTATGCTGATGATATATGTTTACAGGCTGCCTCCGAGCCTAGAATGCAAGTTCTGCTCGACGTTTTTGCTACTAGAGCTGAGGAATGTGGCCTCCTTATCTCTGTACAGAAAACTTGTGCCCTCATTCCATGTGGTATTCCACCACCCAATTATCATATAGATGGGCGAGCACTTGAGAACTGCGCGTCTTACAGATACCTTGGTGTCCCCATTAACAACCCTGGGTACCTTTCTTCTCTCAAGAGGAGACTTTGGGAGAGATTAAAGCCCTTGCGGGTCCTTGTTGGTGTCAATCATGGACTTAACGTGAGACTTGCTAAAATGTTTTATGTATCATTTATACGCTCTGTGATTGGCTACAATACTCTACATCTCACACTGTATACTGACAAAGAGCTGAAATCTCTTGAAACCTTGCAAAATGAAGCTACGCGTCTCATCCTTGGGGCTCCAAAGTCTATGAGAATAGTTAATATGAGAGCAGAGTTAAAATTACCTACCATAAGTGAGAGAATTTTGTCTATTAGCACAGTTTTCGGCGTGAAGGCATTGAGTAGATCTATACAACACATGAAGTTTCAAGCTAAACTTTCTAATATGCTGCACTCACCTGAGGTCTATAGAAGAAGAACGAAATCTGATTATGTATATTGGTTCTACAAGGTAGCCAACTCCATCAAAATATTAAATATGTACCCAACTCAACTAATGATTAATCAGCCAATTACTCCATGGGATAACTGGGATCTATCAGTTGATTTTGTAAATGCGCCCAAGAAAGATAGTGTGCACACTACATTATTAAAACAGTTAACACTGAAAAGCATCACTGAAAGTACTCAGAGTATGGGTAACGATGTTTATCAGTGCTATACCGACGGCTCTGTAGAAGAAGGTGGACGATGTACCGGATGTGCATGTAACATATTTGAACAATCTTCTCTCGTACATACAGCAATGAAGCGCGTCAATGACTGGGCAAGTACAACTCAAACCGAACTTGCAGGCATATACCTTGCCACTGAATTTTTAAAAGACAAAGGCAGTGGACTTATATACTGTGACTCGCAGAGTGCACTCCTGGCACTGAATGCACATAGTAGTGACACCCAGAAAATAGTCAGTGATATTCGAATGAATGTTTTAGCTGCTAAAGAAAACAGATTTGAGATTAAATTCCTATGGATACCATCACATGTTGGCATCTCAAGGCATGACACTGTTGATATGCTTGCTAAGACAGCCTGCAGAAAACCAGTGGTAGAAATTGATATGGGTGTTTCATTAGCAGTGACAAAGAGAATACTTAAACAAATATCTAATGAAAATCTCACCGACCTAACAAATTCACAAAGACCTGAAAGTTGTAGCATTAAATATTATGATAGATATCGTGAGGAGGCATTCACATATGGGACTAATAGAACAAGAACCCGGCAATGTGATGTTATAGTGGCCAGAATACGCCTGGGATATAGACGTATCTGGCAGCTTTCTCAAAACCCAAATGTCGAGTACACAATGTGTCAACTTTGTGAAAGAGAAAACATGCACTCTCTTGAACATTATATTGTAGAATGTCCCATACTGACTGACTTTTGCCCTCCTGGGCTAAGGTATGCTGAACTCTGTAATTACTATATGAGTACTGGAACACTTGATGATATATTGGACTTGTATCCAAGATTGACCATGTAATATATCATTTATTCAATGTATATATATGATGTAACTATATAACCTGAGGTTGTAAAAGCACCTTCATCACCTTCAGTGATTAAGTGCTTAATTGCACACTAGTTTCTTTATCAGCTATCTCACCCTGTCAGAGTAAATGAGACAGATGTATGTGAATGCATGTGTGGTGTATATATGTATGTATACGTATGGGTATAAAGTATATATGGAAGCTGATCGGAATTACATTTCACCTTTGTGAATGTACATTAAGGACACTATGTAAAAGACACATCAAACACTTTATGTAGGGCATACGTAAATCTGTGTATCTATGTATTTACGTATGTAGGTTAGCTTAGCATTTTAAAAGCACCGAATCACCTTCTGTGGTTGAGTGTTCAACAAACCCTTGAACTCTATGTTTAACATTTCTCTAACCCTGTCCATGGAGGACAGAAGAAAATGTATATATGCTGGTTAGCATTGTAAATGTGTGGCCACGTCTGTGGTAGAAAAAAAAAAAAAAAACCCTCCCTCCCTCCCTCTCTGCCTGCCCCCATAACCTTCCCTCCCTCCCTCCCTGCCCCCATAACCTTCCCTCCCTCTCTGCCTGCCCCCATAACCTTCCCTCCCTCTCTGCCTGCCCCCATAACCTTACCTCCCTCTCTGCCTGCCCCCATAACCTTCCCTCCCTCTCTGCCTGCCCCCATAACCTTCCCTCCCTCTCTGCCTGCCCCCATAACCTTCCCTCCCTCTC